TATTCTATACAGTTCTTGTCACTATATCTATGCATTTCTGTATTGCCTGCCTATCTAGAATCTGACTAATCCTTTTTCTGACTTCATTTGTTGTTAGCCCTTTTATCAAAGCTGTTCAGTTTGTAATTTTTTTTGCTTCTGTCTTCCCAAAAAATACCACATATAGTACTAGAGGTAGGATTCTAACCTTTTCATTTCTTTCAAGCTATTCTAAGTTGCTGCCATTGCTATTTTTTGAATTCTCTTCTACAAGCTCCTTTGTTCAATGCAGCTTGCTAAGTGTACTTGGGTTTTCTTTTCACCTTTTTGACATACTTGGCAGTCAGTCATTATATATATTTCTGGCTTTCTTCTATTTAGTTCTTCTAATGTTAATAGGCTATTCATTATATATTTAATCATTGTTGCTCTTCTTGTACTGAGTTTTTTTGTTGTATAATGTACACCCTTTGTTCTATTCATTTCTTTTCAAAAACTTGACCAATTATATTGAGTATTCTCAGTTTCTGGCTCTAGTGCTCAAATTGGATTTGTTTCTCTTCAACTAACTTCAATTTTGGCATTCATGACTATTTTATATAGAAGTCTTGCTAGTATATCAACTTTTCTATTTTCCTATTCTAAATAGTAATCTATTGTGTCACACTTGATCTTTTCTGTAACTATTGTATTTTCATATATTGCTTCTTTTTTTGCAAGTAAATCTGCTCTGTCATTCTACTTGTCATTACTATGACTTTTAAACTTAACTAGTTCTATTTTATTGTTTTTGCTTTTGAGTAAACCAACAATATTTACTATCCATATCATGTATTTCTTCTTCAAAACTTTGTCATCTTCTATCTCTTGAATTGCTCTATTAATATGCCTTAATGCTGTAAAGCTATCTGAATGCATCTCTATATACTTCTCTTCTGGTATAATTAGGATTGCTAACCATATTGCTGCTAATTCTGCTGTTGTTGCTAAAAGCCAACCTTCAAGTCCTAGTATTATTTTTGCTTCTGGCCAGTTTTCTCTGTTACTAACCTGCATCCAACTGATGCCTATCTTTCCTATACTATTTTTTTTTTCCTCTTTATATAATGCACTATTTGTATAAATAGTATATTTGTCTTTGTTTCTTCTCTTGTTTTTTGTTAGGGCTTTTATTAAATAATTTGTAACTTTATTATCAAATTTTTGTTTTTTGATTAATTCTATTTCTAGTTTTCTACTTGTTTAAGTTTGATTAGACCTGTCTCTTCTTTTTTTCATTCTTCTGTTGTTCTGTTTTCTAGCATTTGCTTTAATGTTGCATTAATCTTATTACTGCCTTTTTCTATTAATGTTTCTGAAACTGCCTTTATATTATTATTTCATCTTATTTATCTTTTACAATTATCTATGCTTTGTTCTGCCCTGTTCTTACAACCTTTACATTTACTTATTTCAGTATGTGTCTTGCCTTCTACTTTTTGTAACAGCCAGTGCTTAACAAGAATCTTTTTCTTTTTCTTCTTAGATATCTTACTAAGTTGCTGATTATGCTTTGGTTTATATATAATCCACTCTCTCTTTCTTCTGTCCTCTGATATCTTTGTCCAATTAATTATTAGTGCCTGTGTGTTGTAGTCACTAATCTTGTATTGGTTATATACTTCTCTATTTGTTTGTGTTTTTAACATCTTTTCTTCTATTTCACTAAACTATTTGGCTTTTTTCCTTATGCATGACAACTCTAGAAGACTTTTGAGCTGTTTTTATATAATTAGGTTCTTTATTTTTATGTTCACAAGCTGGTTCAAATATACTAGACTCTTTTTGTTTATTGTGCTACTACTTGCTGTCCATAATCCAACCCTAACTAATTCTTTTATACCTATTTCATATTTATATACTCTCTATAGACAGTTTTTTACTCTAATGCTTATTTTCATTTTTCTTGCTTTTATTATTGTCTGACAAGCTAAGTTGTATTTTCAATATTTTGTTTTCTCTGGTCTTTTTTCAGAGTCCCAAATGTCTTTTGTTAAGCCTACTTTCTAACACCCCTGAGCTATTCTAAGCTTTGTTAGATTATCTAAGGTGTCTTTCCTATTAAGTCTCATAAATAAACTGCTTATTTGTTTTGTTGTTATTTCTTAACTTAGTGTTTTACAGTTTTCCAGATCTTTGTGCTTAATTATACAGTTGTTTGTTGTTTTTATTATATTACATTTGTGTTTTGCTAAACATATTATTGGTTGATGAATCTTGTCGATCATCTTTTTTGACATTCTTGTTAACTGTAGAAGGTATCTATTATTACTGTATTGTTTATATATACAATCTGGCTCATTGTCATTTTTTTGAATCTGAGATCTCTAACTGTTTGGCTAACTATTCCTTTTGCTTTTTTGCAGACTAGTGACTCTCTCATTTTGCTATTTAGCCAAATTCCTAGTAATCTTACAATCTTGTTTTTTGGTTTTTCTGTTATTCTACTATGTCTAAATGTAATTTTTCTATCTTTTTTCCTCAGTCTAGAATTCATTACTATAAGCTTTAACTTTGCTTTACTTATTTTAATATAGTTTGCTTTGAAGAACTCTTCTGCAATTTTAAGAGTTCTTAGTAATTTATCTTTGCTTTTTGCAATCTATTTAGTATTATTTGCATAAGCAATCGCTGCCTGCCTATGTTTTGTAATATAATTAATGTTTGTATTTTTTAGTATTTCTTGTTCTACTGTATAACCTAGTAAATTATCTTCTTGAATTCTTTTCAACAGTAGATTATAGAAAAGCTGCCAGATTAGTGTAGAAATTACCTTTCCTTGATCTATATCATCTTCTGCTATTATCTCTTCTGTTAGGCTATAAGTTGTAATCACCTTAAGTTGACATTTGCAAAAAAGATTAATAATATATTTTGTTGTTCTTTGTGGTATCTTAACTCTTCTAAGAGCCTATTCTAAGCTTTCCAATAGGACAGAGTCAAATGCTTTCTTTATATCTTGTAGAAGTATTCATATTTCCTTATTTTTCTCTTGTGCTTCTTCTATTATTATGTTTAGCATATATATTAGTTGCTCTGTTGAGTTGCTAGGCAAACCTGCATAGTTTGGTTCTTTAAGTATTTCTCTTTCTGTAAATATCTTGGCCAACCTTCTTGTTACTATCTTTGTGACTATCTTTCTAAAAGTCTCAAGTAATGCTATTGATCTAATATTGTTCAAATTATATTTCCAGTCTGCATCTTTTGGGATTGGATAAATTTGTGCTATTTTCCACTTTTTTGACACTTCTTCTATTTTAAGGACTAGATTTGCAAAAGCTTTAAAATTTTTCTGTAATTTTTTCCCTGCTAAAAGTTGGGACCTGTTTTATTTTTATCAACTGGGTTTATTAACTTTTTAAAAATTGCAACTGAATATAAATCAGTTATAATATATCTGGTTAAATTCAGTTAACTGAGTATAATAATCTAGTTAAATCCAATTAATTAGATTAAATCTGATTAATCAGTTATAATATAACTGATTAATCAGATTTAATCAGATTATTATAACCAATTAATCAGATTTAATTGAAGGATCATATTTGGCTAAATTTGATTAATAGATTAATTACTAAGCTGTTTTTTTGAATTCTGGATCAGTTAGAAGCATGTACTGAAATTCAAAAAAGAAATTGCAATAATATCATTTAAATTCAGTTTGCACCTCTAATTCTAGATCAAATAAAAAATTTACTGTATGAGTTTAGTATGATTCATATATAAAATGATGTAAGTTTTTTAATACATAATGACTAATTATAAAGAGTATTAAAATATTAACACATTAAGTTTTCTTTTAATTGTATATTCAATATGTTTTGTGTGTTTAGTTTATATGAAAAATTATAGTGAAAACAGTTTTTTCCAACTAACATAAAAAGGTTTGAAATATACTGTAAAATAAGACATTAATAAAAAAAAAAAAAAAGATATTATTAAGAATTTATTGACAAGGTCAAAAAATATATATATATATAAATGCAAATTATAATTCAGATATTTACCAAAATTATGTTGATAATTATAATTAATAAAATCAAAGCAAAAAAATTTGTATATTAAATTATTCATTTAAAAGCTTCACTTATAAAATCCAGATCAAAAAGAAAATCAGTATGAATTAGATAAAAGCATTGAATGATAGATTTAAAACCAAGGGCCTTTGGATTGTTTATCTATAATAAATACTTTAAAAATGCTTAGTTTGTCTGAAGTACTGCAGCTAATCTGAAATACCCAACTTGTCAACAATTTTTAACTAATATGCATTAAAAATGTATATACATCTGTACATTATAAGACTTTCACAGCTGTTCTCATAAATTTTGAGACACTTAGCAAAAAATTGGCCAAATGATTATTTGACCAATCTGATTTAGTTCGGTTGATTGCCAGAGATTAGAGTCAATTAAAGCTCTATCATGTTACAAGGCTTTAATTCGAACTACAAATTGGATTTTTACGTATAAAGGAGTAGTAAAACTAAACACTTCTGCTAAAAAACTTAGAATCTTTCAAACTCTAAAAATTAGTTTTATTTTTTAGGCAAAAGGTTTTATAGTTTTTATATTATTATTGAATAATCATGAATTTTTGACTTTGTCTAACTTATTTACTTAATTCCTTTAATTCATCTTATTCATTTAATTCAATTAATGCAGTGAATTAATTGAATTTTGTGCTGCTTCTTACAATAGTAATAATTTCCATCCACCTACAAATACCTGATACATATACTAACATTTACTAAATTTTATCACTATGTAGTGCTTTATTAAAAGGAAAAACAATATAGAAAAAAGAAGAAAAACAAAAAAAAACTGAAAAATTAGAGTAACCTGAGCTTTTCACAAAGCACATATGCTTATATGCTAACTTAAAATTATACATACTGATACTTTGGTTTTACTTAAAAAAAACAAACTAAAAATAGAAATAAAAAAAAGGTCGAATAGTACTACAGAACCTTCTATACATGGCTATAAGATTAAATTTGAAAAGAGAGAATCCTCTTTATGATCATTAATAAATTCTATTATAATTTTCTGATTTTCATACTCTTAAGTAATTAATTAGCATCTAAAACCTAAGATATAATTCTTATGACAGAAACAAATCAAAATAAATCCTATTGCATTTTAAAAATAAAACCTTATTTACTAAGTCAAAAGATAAACATGCTTGTTTTGCTGAAATGTAGTTACTGGCATCAGAAAATAATCTCTTGCTTGATACAGAAGTAGCCAGGATGGAGAGATACTTGCATGCTAATTGAGTCAAAATAGAAAAGCTATTTTTGTTTTTCAAACACCATTCTAGAAGATCATCATTAATCTTGATTTCTTAAAACTTTACATAACATGTTATTTTATTATCTTTTTCCATGTTTGTTTGTGCAGAATCTGCTTCTAAATCTTGAAAAAAATCATCATTATTGCTATAACTTCTATTTACCAAGCCTTTTTCAATGTTATCTGAAATTGTGAGACTTATCTTCAACTCCTCATATAAGTTTTTTACTAAGTTTTTTGCTTTGTTTCATTCAGTACTTGTTGCCCACTTAAAATGTTTAAAACTTGGATCAAGTAATATGACAACTAAAGCATTATCTGATAGAACTGACCATAACTCATCCATTGATAAATAAATAGTAGTTTGAACTCTATTAAGCAAGCTGGCAATAGAAACTGGTAGTAGATCCTTTACTTTGTCTATATCTTTCAAATCTTCATTATTAGATTGTCTTGGCATTCTTCTATTTTGTTCACAACCACAACTACGAGCAACTATCCTTTAGCAAAATTGTCTGTGTGCATATTGCCATTGTTGACAGGTATCAGCAGCTGAGATATCATTATCACTTGTTTCATCACTCTTATTATCATCATTTTCTGCTTCTTTATAAATAAAGTTCAAATAGATATCTACTGTTTCATCTGTCTCTGATACAAATCCCTTCTTAAGTACTTCTATACATGGATAAACAAGATTAAGAGTTGGATACTTAGCATCACATAAATGTTAAGTTACTTTTTCAATCAGTTTTAGTAATTTTACCATATCTTGCAAATATATGTAATAAAAAAAAAAAAAAAAAAAAAAAAAAATCAATTCTTGTAAAATGAAGATTGCCAAAAAGAAAAATAAATATGATTATAATGGAATCTAAAATAATATAGAGTTGAGGTCTAAAAAACTAATTTAAGGATATAATTATAAGAGGCTTTACTATAGATTCTATATTATTGTATAGCACTACTAGTAATGTGTCATGTACTGTATGCTAAAATTTTGACAATCATTTTATAAGCTCTGAAGTTTAGGCTACAAAACTTATAAATGCCTAAATATTTCAAAATAATTACAGAATATTATGAAATTACAACATAAAAAACTTTTTACTATACATACTATATATGTACTATATATACTGTAGATACTGTATATTAAAAAATCTGAGTATAATATAAATGGCACATCACTAAGCACTACATACAGTACCACAGGATTACTATATAAAGAGGAATACTGTTCAAGATGTATATTGAAAAGAGTTAGTTATATAATTGTATCATTGATTTGAGCTACTTAATTAGTATCAGGATATTGTTTAAAATTTTAGAATTAGATAGTATTCTAGTACTATTTAATGAAATAAGCAAAAGTAATTAAATAAACAAATTTAAATAAAATTTAATTACTCTTTTTTACTAACTGATAAACATAATCTTTCTAGTTTTTTACTCTCTTTTTAGAAGGCATAATCTGTTTTGGCAAGTAAAGAAGTTGAGACAAATCGCATTGCATTATGCAATTCTAAAATGCATTTCCAGGCCAGATAAGTAAAGTTCCACCTTGTTTTTACATCTGTTAAAACATGAAAGAGATTTACAACAGTATTTTGACTATCTTCACTTATATTAAATTCATATTGTGCTTCTTGTAAACTTTGTGCCTGTTTAGAGAATCGAAAAAAGGCCTGTAAGCTTTTACCATAATGATGGATAGATTTACATTGTTTTAATTCTTTCTTGACTGATAGTTGTAATATGTGGATGGCACAGAGTTGATGCACTATGTTGTTAAAATAGTTTTTACATAATAAATTTATTCCTTTAACCATGTTAGCACCATTATCTGTAGCTATAGCAAAAGCTGTTGCCTCAAATCACCATTCATGAATTATATAAAGTAATTCTTTGCTAATTGTTTCTTCTGTATGCAGATGTGCAAGATGATCAAAGAGAGCAATGCTTCCTGAAATTTAAAATCTGATGATAGCCAAGTTACTGTAATACCTAAATAACTATAATAGAATTTTGCTGTTCACAAGTCTGTAGACAAGTGAACAGCTATTGCACTACTACTAAGTAAAGATTTTAACAGACCATGAGTCCAATCATATGCTTCATAAATTAAGCTCTTGGCAATTTTGTCACATGGCATTCAAAATCTAAGCACACAGGTATAAATTAACTTGTGAAAAGATTCATCTTATAAAATGTAAAGAGGCTCAACAAACTGAATAATAAATTGAATTAATTTTCTTGCTATTAGTTGTTGCATATGTGGTGAACATGGTGGTACTGTATGGTTAAAATAATTAGTAACTTTGGTCTGATCACATTTTGGCTAATATGTAAGATAATAAATTTTTTTATATTAACAAGTTAATTTAATTTATAATCAAAATTAAAAAATTTAACTTGCTGAATAGCATAATTTGAATGCTATTCGGCAAGTTGAATTTTTTAATTTAAATAACATTAATAATATTGTACTTCATTATGTTCATCCAAATAATCAGTATAATTGTCTTTAATTATATTGTGCTTATCATGTAAGTGGGCTATCATATTTGAAATATTACTACCTTTATGAGTATATGGGTAGAGCTTTTGCTGACTTCTGACAAGATTAAGTTCATATATTTTATAGTAAGCAAAGTCAGGGTTATTTTCATCTATGTGAAAAAAGAAAGTTATATGACTTTTATTACTATGATTAGTTCCAATATTAGACTTTCATTTTTTTCGACTTGCAGTTGATGCAGTTGATGTAGCTGATGTCGTGGTAATGGATTCTTCAGTATCTGAAAATAAAGGTAAAGATATTTTTTTTAATTTATGAAATTTAAATTTATTATTATAAAGTTTTGTTTATTTTCTATAATAATTATTAGCTTCTTTTATACACATTAAGGCTATTAAAATTATATAGATTATGAGATTTCTACATTAATATTGCATCAAAAAAATTTTATATTTGTATATATGGCACAAGAATCTAAAACCTTAATTCCTTTGTGTAGAAATAATATTCTATAGAACTGTTCTTACTAATTATCTGCCATATTTTATAGAATTGTTCTTATTGATAACTTGTTATATTCTATAGAATTGTTCTTATTGATACTCACTATTGGCAAATTTATTTTATTTTCAATACAGTAAAATTTCTTATCAGTGCATTATATTTATTTAAGTTTTTAGATTTTTTACACTGCATATTTTTTCTACTTCTGTAAATAGGTATATACAAGTTCTTGCTGAATGTAATATGCAGGAAAATTTCAAAGCATACACAATTTGCACTTATAAGAAATAATCAGATTTTTCAAAAAAAAAATCTAAAATTAAATTAATATTTATATCTGGTGTGTTATATCATTATTAACCTTGGTATATGTAGTTTTAGATGCTATAAACAAAAGCCTGAATTATTTATATTCAATATGATTATAATGAATAATTGAAGATAATATCAAGAGCAAATTGGTAGTGAAGTAATGACATTAGTGTCATATTTATAATGCTAAGTTTAAAGTATGACTTTAATGTGTACTATAGTACTTAATATGTGTGCTAGTATGTATTGTTAACCTGTAGTTTTTCCTTTAACTACAGTGATATCAGAAGCTGCTCAACTATAGTATGATGACTATAACT